GTTCATTTGAACTGCAGTTACAGCTACACAGTTATTTGTATTTCCAAATATAACACGCAAAGCAAAAGGTCGAGCCTAAACAAATAGGCAGCGAGCGGGTGTGAATTTAACATAATTGGATTTTATACGCAATCCAACGTTGGTCAAAGGATTGGACAGAATAAATAAATATCAAATTAGCACGGTTGAGTTTTTTTTTAATATCGTTTCCATAGGGGAAAGTTTTTTTTTTTTAATATTTAGCTCAAGTAATTCTCATAGCCAGTTTTAAATATGTATTCTATTGTACGAATCGACATTGCATAAAAAATTGTTTTACATTCAGAAAAATGTGAAGGCACACGTTATATTAAAACCGTTTTTTCTGAATGTTGGTGCTACTAAATTTTGGTAACATGCGCGTCGCTTTGTTTCAGGAAATCGTAAGAACTCTTAAAACATGATGATCACTTGCTCAGTGTTATTGAGCAAATAAACGTTATGTAAAAGGGGAATGAGATTGTTTATAGCAGTGATTCCCAAAGTGGTCTATATGGACCTCAGGGGTCTATGACTAACTGCAAGGGGTCTACAACAGTAGTCATCTTGTTGTTTTTACTTTATTTTTTTAACACTGAACTTTACTATAGTTAGAAATTTACAAATAATCAATACCAGGTAAGAATGGGGGGTCTACCCATAACCGAAAAATATGGCAAGGGTCTACGACACAAAAAACTTTGGGAACCTCTGGTTTATAGGAATATATTCGAATTAAGAATGAAATTCAAAATAAAGAAAATTACATCATGGAGAAAATCGCTATTTAGCGATAAGGCCGCCCATTGTTACCTCTATGTTGTAATTGTTATTTTCTCTTTGTGAGAGGAATAATATACGGTTTTTCATTCATTCATTGACATCTTAAATAAGTTAAATAAAGTTTTCTAGGAATATGATTGTTATTATTTGAATCGAGTGTTAACGTACCAAAGAAGTGGAGTTCAAACAAATCGAGTTATATGATTGAGTGAAATGGGCCGTGAGAGGCATTAGGTAGCTGGCACCCATGTCCGTTATATTTAGGGTTGCCATCTCTAAAATTTGGAAACCAGGACAAGACGCATGAAAACCCCGGATTTTAGAGTCCAGAACCCGGACATGTCAACAAGGTATATCTATATATATATATATATATATAAAAATGAATTGCTGTTCGTTAGTCTCGCTAAAACTCAAGAACGGCCGAATTGATTTGGGTAACTTTAGACTTGCAATATTCCTGCAAGTCCAGGGGAGGTTTAAATGGTGATAAAATATGAAGAAATTACATAGAAAATAAAAAAAAATATATATATATTTTCATACAAACTGATCGTACCTGTCAAACGTACGTAAGGGTTCGTTCAGAAAATTGCTTAACTAAAGAATAGAATAGAATAGAAAATCATTTATTCAAATAAACTTACATTGAAGCACTTTAAAAAATAGTTCATTGCATTTTTAAATCACTTTTTTATTTAATATCATCATTTTAAATGTACCTAACAAAACAGAATCTTATTACAGTTGCTTACAAATTGTTTTAATAAACCGTTCGATTTTTTAAATAATTTTATTATTACTTTACATTTTTAAGTTTAAGTGTGTGAATACAAACCACCGGATGGAATTAGTTATATTCTATTAAATACTCTAATAGAAATAATATTGAATATATAACCAACTGGTTAAACAATTAATAAGAGGAAATCAGTCATAGTGATTAGAGCAGACCAGTCCCTACAAGCAGCACCCGTTCACGAGTATGACGGATGAAACTTCAAGAAAGCCATGTCATATTATTTAATTCTGAGATGTAACGAAGTTCGCGTGGTCAGCAGTAGTGTAATAAAAAACAGTTAATTACATATTTCATAAATATCTTTTTTATTTAATATCTTCATTTTAAATGTAACTAACAAAACAGAATCTTATTACAATTGCTTACAAATTGTTTTAATAAACCGTTCGATTTACTTTATATATATATATATATATATATATATATATATATATATATATATATATCTCCCCGGATGCCCTCTCAAACTAGGACAAATCGTGGGATATATGATGATGATAAAATGGCAACCCTAGTTATATTTGGACAGGGGAAAATGATGTCGGTATGTATGGGGCTGACCGTGCGAAAATTGGATATAAAGTTCATTACTTACTTTTACTTTGTGTTCTGGAAATTAAAAACAAAAGGTTTCAAAGAATAAACACGCCTCTATAGATTCTTATGCTTACTCTTAGCTCTGTACCACTTTATCCTAATTTTCCAGCGCCAGGACAAAATGTCCTGGGTTGTCGGGTCGGGTTTTTCTGCAGCGATAAGCTTGTTCATGCTGGTCCACCAAGTGGCTGGAGGACGTCCTCTACCTCTTTTACTTTGGGGTAGTCTTAGCATTACGTGGCCATATCATCTGAGACGGCTTTCGGTAGGTTTCGTTATTGGGGCCATCTTTATTCTTTGAAACTAAGAATAAAGACGCCATTTTAGATTAAACAGAGAAATATAAGGTACTACATAGGATTCTAAAATTAGGGATAATGTAGGAGCAGTAGTGGTATTGGAGAGAGTAGTATTGGAGTGTCTGTTTGTAATATTGAAATAACCGTTTTTTACTACATGCATATGAATATAAATACGGTACATAGACCAAAATAACATTTTTTACAATTTTTGTCTGTCTCTCTGTTTGTTCCGGCTAATCTCCAAAATGGCTGGACCGATTTTGACGGGACTTCTTTGGCAGGTAACTGATGTAATAGGGAGTAACTTAGGATACTTATATTTTAGAAAAATAAAGTTAAATTCTACGCGGACGCAGTATATGATACAAAACCAAGACAAATCGCCTTTTTAGCCGAAACGATTTTTAGGTTGTATCTGATATTTTCAATTGTATGCACAAATTTATTATATGTTTTCCTTTTATAAGAACCTTACAAAAACAAAAAATTTAATTCATCTTTTTTTGTTTATCTTCCTCAAACTCGAGTAAAATGTTACTTGAGTTTGAGAAACATAATAATAATGATGACAAAGGAAAGTAGGGATACATTTTTATATATCTATAAATATATAGCCTATTCTTAATTCATGAACTTAAGTGAAAGTTTTGGTTACATAAATAATAATTAACATTGCAACTTTTGTGTCCGTTTCTTATTTACGGAAACGAAGCGTTGGGTAAATCGATTGTTTGGGAAAGTGGAGTCGGCTACCTGGAGTATATACCAACTGACATCTATATATAGATGCTAAGCCCCACCCGACTCCTAACTGGCGGGTTAACTTTACCAATTATAAATTAGCTAAATCGATTTCCCACGGTACAAGATTAACTTGTTTGTCCGTTATATCTAAACCAGAGTTACCCTTTTTGTTGAGCCTCTCCGGATTATCTAATATATAAAATTCTCGTGTCACAGATTTCGTGTTTATACTCCTCCGAAACGGCTGGACCGATTTTGATGATTTTTTTATATAAATTCAGTAGACCTGAGAATAGGTTTATAACTAATTTTTAAGCCCCTTAATGTGGCTCACCGCAATTTTTTTTTTTATCGTTTAGATAATTTTTTTTTTATTATTATGTGTAATTAAAAAATACACACATTTTCACCCTTCTACCTCCAAACCCCATTTTTTAAAATTCCAATTATAATTTATTAAACAACGTTTGATGGGTCAGCTAGTAATATATATTATTTTCAAGCTATATCATATAATAGGAACCACTTGAAGGTCAAACTGACATGGTACATTGCTAGCAATGATATTAGGCCACATTACTAACAAGTTCCTTCCCATATACTTAAATAAAAAAGTATCTAAATATTTATTCTATTCTATTCCTAATAAAATATATGTTTTATACTTTTAAATAATAATTTTTAAACAGATAGATAGACAAAATATACTTTACTTGTAACATATAATTAAGAAAAGATAATTAATATATTATAGAACACATACATGCTTACAATAAGACGCCCTCATTGCTAAAAGTAATCTTTTCAAGGCAACCTAAAAGAAACAGATTTAAATATTGAACATACAGGTATTATGAAAACAGAAGAAAAATAAAAATGGCAACCATATAATGATTTAGAAAAACAATAGTAAGTAAAATATCAATTAAAATGTATGTAAATTACAATAATCATTTATTAAACTAGATTATCTTAGATATTCCAATCTGTTCCATCTCCATCATAAACTACTGTCCAATTCATATAAACGTAAACTATCCTGAAGTTAAACAATCCTGTATTCTTTGTTATATCATAGACCTCCCGTTAGAGGGCGTTAAAAATATTATTTTTTATGTCCCTATGCTAGTAATGTCTTCACTTCCTCAATAGATGGCGCAGATATGTAATAAGGTTTTTATTGATAAGAATAAACTAAAAAAATCACTTTTAATAATACAGTCAAAGTACTTGACATATTGATTTGTGCACAGTCTAAACAGAGTTAAACTAAAGTGAATTGAAGGCAATGACTGTATGTACTGAGTCCTTCTGTAACAATGAGAGCCCACTAAAAATAATTAGCTAAAAAAATCTGGATTTATTGTTTCAAACACAAATTATTTTGATTGAGGCAGGCTCGTATATTTTATATTATAAAAACCTTCATACTAAATCTATGCACACAAATACAATTGAACATTTCACAAATTTTAGGCAAAAACAGGAGTGCTTTAGTTCTTTTTAAAAATATATATGAAATCGTAGACATAAATGGATTAATGCCATTTTCGTTCCTCCCGTTCACTTAGTCCTTTATCCCTTAATTTATGCACACTCTATTGTAGGATCTGTTTTCCTTTACTTTTCTAGTTTATATTTAGTTTGACAAATATGCACTATGAGATCTATGGATGGCTGTATGAGTACAGTTTCCGTTGCCGTCTTATGGATAAACTAAACAAGAAAAAAAAAATACTATGGATTTGTAAAGTTTGACAGTTCGTCGGCACTAGTAAATATTATTTTTTATGGGAATCTTTGAAAAGTTATATTTTTTTGTGGAATCGTAGTTATATTTGCAAAAATATTACTTTGCCATTATGGTGACATGTTCAGTGATAGAATGTTGCACGACGCAGCGCAATAATCCAGACAAATTAACTTTTCACAGGTAAATGTAGTTATATTCTTGTATTTATTATTGCCATTGAGATTCTAGAGCCGAACACTTTATATGATTTTCATGAAATTAATATACATAAACCTATAAAACCATATTTCAGGCAAAATGAACGCTAATTAAATAAAATACAATATTTTTTATTTTTCACTAGAGCTGTCCATACCTACTAGTTATCGATAAAGTTAAAAAAAAAATCGGTAGTTTTATAAGTATAGAAAGCTATAACGCAGTTTGGCGCGTAGACTCAACAGTTATATAGAATCCCGATTATCCGTATCAAATAAAACCAGGGGTATTCCATGTAATCGAAAATCTGGATAACCAATTTCAAAGAATATAAAACAATATTTAAATTTTAATAATTGTGTCATTATGTAATGGCTTTTACAGATGAGCGAGCCATCACTGCGCTTAACCATATTTTAGGGAACATAATGACCCGGCATATATATATATGCATATTTACCTGTTATATTGGTATTGGTTTCAGGATTCCATTGGATGTGAAGGCACAAAACACATGGCTAAGATTAATCGATCGTCCTAACTGGACTCCCACAAAACATGCATGTCTATGCAGTAAACATTTTGATGATAAATATTTCCGTAGAATAGGAAAGAAGAGATTTTTAATGAAATGTGCCATTCCAACAAAATTTATACCGGTGGGTATATATAGTTATATAACAACACTATTTACATACAATAAACATTTCTATATGGATTGATCTGAGTATACATTAGCAGCAATAAGAGTATGGAACTTATACTAGGACATCCTGTGTTACAGTATTCTACCCGCATACTTGATTTAGCATAGGCAGGAAGTAATGGCTTCATATACATATAATAGTTTCATATATATTTTTACATACTACATACAGCATATACAAAACCAGGTTAACTATTATATATTCAAATTAAAATTAAAAAAAGAATTTATTCATGTAGGACATTTTAGCCGCTTATTAATTCTAATTATATTTTTTTCCTTTACATCAGTCATCATGCAATCAGTCTTTCAGACTATAAACAGATTTGTTGACCTTTGTAAAATCTAACTATATTAACTATTTTTCTCTTTACAGGTGAAGTTCAAACCCAAGCGAACAGCATCTTCTTATGTATACAGAGATATTGCAGACATGGTATCATCTATACCACTCACATCGGAAACTACATCCACGAAACAGTTTACATCAATGTCATCAAAGAAATCGAAACTTAAAATAAATACAAATACAAGGAAATTAATACTAAAGTATTCTAAAATGCGTCAAAAAATGATAAAGAAAGATCAAATTATTCAAAATCTAAGAGCACAAAACCAACATTTTCAAAACAAAATTATATCTTTAGTATCAGTGCTTCATGAAATACGAAAGCAAATTAATATGTAACATTTATATATATGTAAATATATTGTGATGTTAATAAAAAGCTTATCAAGTTGCACCTCACTAATTTAATTTTTTATACAAATCATAGGTATAGTATTATTCTAGTAACCTGTACAGTCATAGACGAAGAGCATACGAAAAGCGCCTAAGGCTCTGAACTTCCCATAAATATCTCCATAGCTGAAGTGTCCGCTCATACCTCATAAACTACAATTACCAAACGTTCTGTTTTCCCAGAACAAGTCGTAGTTTTTGTAGTGTCCTGTGACGTCCTCAATAATTTTATCAGCGTCCTGGGTTTTAAAGACAAATTAAAAAATAAAAAAAACATTTTATTCCAATACAACTTATATTAAAAAACTATGTGTTTGTTTTAATTACTTTAATATCATTTCACCTATTTTCACTACATTTTTATTAAACCTTTGCAACTCTATTATTGAACTGAATTTTCCCGGTTTTTCCAACTTCAACTCCTGATTTTCAAATTTGGAGTTGCCAACTCCAACCCTGTATCCATATTCGAAAGATATCACTGATACTCTAACACCTTGATACCCACGTCATATTTTTTTTATTACTATCTCAATAATAAAAATGTATTTATTAACTCAAACTAAAATTTATTTATTTAGGTCCTATGGACCTTCCGGCCTCTTGTGCACGTCATATTTTTTATTATTAATATTAAAATATACATATAGGTTTGTCATGGTTTGCATATCAATTAATATCTGTGTATCGCATACTGATCCGATGTATAGATATCGTTTTATAATAAAATTTTGTATGTGCCGCTCATGAGTGGTAGTAATTCATTCATTTCATTCATTCTTGACGTCAATGTGACGTCTTTCCGCCTCGTACGTATGACGTAGGTATACAATTGATCAGTGTATACAATTCAATTTCGTTCATTGCCTCTACTTAAATCTATATTAATGTTTCTACACGTTTTAGTAATCACTAATCAATAAAAATAAATAAACAAAACGAGAAAAATGGATTGGTTTACTCATTAATGTAAATTAAATCACAAAAAATGGATAACAACAGCGATTATGATGAGAACGAGATACTTATATGGCAGGAACCAAGACGCGAACCCTTGGGTGCTCCCAAGGAGTTGCTGTGTGAAGAGACGCCCCCCGAGCAAGTTTCCGGTGACAGACTGCATGCACTTGAAGAAGAACAGGAAATCCTATCTTCATCAGTGTTTTCATTAACGTCTCATTTAGCTCAGGTTGAATTCAGATTGCGACAAATTTTGAAAGCGCCCGCTGAAGAAAAAGATGTTATGCTTAAAGCTCTGGAAGAGTTTACGTCTAGAGGAGTCACGGACACGCGGGCAGCACCACAGGGCAGTTCAGGTGACAATTGCAGTGAATGTTTGGAGTTGGAAAAGAAAATGCGGAAACAACGCGTAAAGCAAGCTCACTTCATTGAAAGATTGAAAGCGCAGTTGAAAGAACTGGAGAGGTTTGTAGCAAATCCTAGTTCAAAGGGTGATAGTAGACATAGGGTATTAATAGAGCATTTAAGAAGTGAAATTGACCAAAGTCTTGATGAAGGATGTCAGCCGTTAAGCGCGGATGAGTTGCGACATCAAATTAATTGCGCCGTCCGTCAGTACGCAGATCGGCAGCTATCCAAAGATGAGATTATTAGTAAATTACAAGTACATGTCGAAGACATGCAGAAATTTATTGATTTAATGAAAATGGAGGAACTGAGAGAGAATGGCAAAACTAAAACAGAGCCAAAAAAGGTTAACACAAATAATTTTGAAAAGAATTTCCATAAAAGCAAAGTTAATGAGGATCTTAAAACAGAGACTATTAACCTGATGAGGAAAGCATCTACATTAATACAAATCTTTACGGTGTCGCAGTTTGGTTGTTCTCCAAATGAAGGTAAAAAGTTTGATAGGAAATCGTCAACTATTACTGCACATTGGGGTAATTTACGAGCTAAACTGGAAATGTCAATAGATGCTGTGCTCCATTTGGTGTCCCGTGACAGGGCATCCCACACAATCATTGACAGTTATGATAGTGAATCAGAGGAAGGTGGTATCACCATCAATGATGCACCACTGACTACAGCTGTGCGACGTCACTTGGCTATTAACTTGAGGGATTTGCTCCACCACGGGTTGGTGGGTCCAGAATCATCATCTCTAGTACCAATCATTGGCTGCTTTCCTGTCAGAAGATCATCCACTTCTCAAGCGCCTCATATTTGGGAACTAATATTACGTTACTATGATTTGAATGATGGAGATAGATTCAATTCTACTCCAGCTAGGAAATTAAGTCAAAGCTTTAACTTAGATATAGTTGGGGGAACCGCTATAACTAATAAACAGAGTTTGCTGAGCACCATTGGTGGCATCATAGCCACACACACCCCATACAAAAGGAGTTACGATGCTCACTTCAAAGCTTTAGTTTGTGCTGCCTTAAACTCTCATAAATTGGTATTATGGTTAAATATCATACTAAAAACTCGATCTCTAATCAATTCTTATTACTCTTCAACTAGTTATATTGTAAATACAGGTTTTCAAGATACTCTGCAGAGTCTTGATCGCTTGACCCCTCATAACTTTGATCTGCCAGTAGATCTCGCTGTGAAGCAATTCCAGAATATTAAGGATGTATTCATGTAACTATTTACTTTTTAAGAATACACTTTTATACATAATCAATAGTCATAATCAATGCCTTCCATGGTCAAGTGATCATGCACTACTTGATGTGCTAGCCTAATATTCTAGTCCATAGTGCATAATATAGAATAGTATTGGTTTTACATTTAATTAGGTCATTTATTACTAATTTGAAATTATTTTAGCTGTTTGACATTCCAATCTTTATTTATTTACGTCATATACAAGTAATTTATTTATGAAAAATGTAAATAATTTTTAAGCAAATAGCATTAATGAATATAAAAGGAGCCTAGCCGAATTTTATTCTCTAAATTTATTGTAATGATTTTTATAAAATTCTAACTTGTATTCTTGATTATTGTGTACATTCCAAATTCACTGTATGTTTAGGTAGTTTATAATGACTAATTAGTGAAGTTACTGTTAATGAAGTGACATTGGGTGATAAATATTATCAATTTAAAACAATTGTACCAAAGATTTTACCAAATGTGGAAGTATTAAACTTTGTATTGTGCAAATCATGTAAAACTTAAATATTATAATGTAGTTGAAGCATTTTTGATGATTTTTTTTTTCTAAACCTTTGTCCTAAGTCCCATATGAATACAGAGAGAGAACATAAGTATTTTGTCGTTATAATTTTTATACATAAAATCTTGAGAAATTATATATTCTTATAATTCTAAAAAATATATACCTGATTCAAAAATAGTTAAACTAAAATCAATCCTTTCTTTTTACATCTTCAGCCATTTTTATACTTACGAACCAGTTATTTATGAGAATGTTTTACTATCCATAATCCTTGTAATATTTGCCTATTATATTGCATACAATCATAGATTTTACTTTAAGAACACTTCAGTTTTTGCTATGTATTTGTAATTAGAAATAATCTGACTGCCCACTTAATGCTAAGTTCTAACATGAGCTGCACTGCAGACACCTAGTTAGTACACATGTGTACTAGGTGTACATGTGACACCCGTAATAAAGCGAGCTATTTGACGGCTGAAATATGCGAGACTGAAGTACCCTCGCAGACAGGGCGGATCTACCTACGGGCTTTATGGTCTGCAGCCCAGGGCCCCGTTGCTATAAATCCCCCAACCCCCACTAAAAACCATAGGCGATATTTTGTTTAAAAAACCTAACATAAGATTGACAACTCGGAGATTAATCAACCAATAGATTTGCGCGTCTATCGAACGGAACAAGGAATTCCCTGTCGCTTGTTTTTGGCCTGTGTATTTTTTTAGTTGAGTAATATAATTAGGTATCCCCGCCCCACAAATTCACGATCCGCCCCTGCACGCAGACACGGCTTTTGAGTCTACTTCGGTCTCTCGTATTGGCTGTTGATATTATATATACACATATCAAAACAGTTTTCTTTTCCATTTAGTGCTTGAATCTTAAAAAATATCCAAGGTAATAAAACTACACAATAATATTCGCATTATTTAATAAGATCAAAATAGTAAACAATCTAAAACAAAATAAATAATTTAACATCTCAATTTCAGACCAAAACATTACACAAGACGTGATATAAACAGACAGCAATAGAAACTGTCATGCAATGTTATTTACAATGAATGCTTATGCCACATATTGGTAACTTAAATGCAGATATTTATTATTTAGAACTTGTCAGTATTTGTTCTTAAATTTTAATATATTTCATTGGATTTAAAAATAAGATTGCATTTTCGATGAAGTTGTATGAATTCGAGAAATTTCCATTTTATATCACGTATGTAACGTGATGTATTAAAACTGGCTTTATTAGTGTAATAATAATATCCCTGAACAATTCACACAGCGCCATCTAGTCCCAAACTAAGCAGAGCTTGTGTTATGGATACTAGATATACATACATAGATATATTTTTACTATAAATATATAAGTAACATACATAGAAAACACCCAGACCGATACAAACAGTCATAGTCATGAATACAAATGGTTTGTACCGTTCAAGGAATCGAACCCGCGAGCATCGGAAGTAAAGCGGTGTGCTAAACCGCTAGGCGACCGAGACTGTCAAAACATAGTATAGCACCAGTAAAATAAAATGTGAATAAATAAAATAAAGAAATTTAAAAAAATACAATTTTAAAAACGTAAAGGTTTTATAAAAGTCCCGTTCTTGTGAACTTTAAAAAAAGAAAAAAAAAACATGGAAACCATAGTCAATTCCGTTTGAATTGAACTTCACGTTGGATATTTTCTATAAATACACAATATATTGATATAAAATTGAATATAGTAACGTAGCCCTAGTAATTATTGTACAGTTTACTTAGGTCCCAACATTTCCTCAGGTCTCACCCACTCGTCGAACTGTTCCGCTGTTAGGATGCCTAGTTTGATAGCCGTATCTTTTAGAGTGCCACCTTCTTTGTGAGCGGTTTTGGCTATCAGTGCAGCCTGGAAAATAATAAATAACATATTTTAAATAACATTGAATCCATTCTGACAGTTGTATGTGTAGTGTTATAATAATTATAGTTGGATAGCAATTGACCGATTTTTAGATATTATTTTAGTTAGTATTTCGTCTTTAGTTATAGTCCATGTTACTAACAATAATTGTCTTTTTTTATTTTTATTTATACTAGGCTAATAACATAGCGTCATCAAGTTGATGACGCTATGTTATTAGTCTAAAAGTACAAGGTAAGCAGAGCTTTTGTTATGGATTCTAAACAACTGATATAAATATTTATTTTGTATATAGATAAGACATAGAAAACACCCAGACCCACAAACAATACAATTCTGCTGCCCCACCCATACAAACAATTCTGCTTATAAATACAAATGTTTGCATTTGCACTGTAAAAGTGGTGTGTTAAACCGCTAGATCACAGAGAACGTCAAATTAATTTATTAATTTATCGTTTATCTTAAACTAAATAAATTTAACTCAAAGGTGACTGACATAGTGATCTATAAACGCACAGCTCAAACCACGGGACGGATCGGGCTGAAATTTGGCATGCAGGTAGATGTTATGACGTAGGGATCCGCTAAGAAAGGATTTGATTATTACTACCCCCAAAGGGATAAAATAGGGGATGAAATTTTGTATGTAACTTTGTCAATTTTAAACCGATCGGGCTGAGCTTTGCATACATAAAGCTACTATGACGTAGGCATCCCCTAAGAAAGGAATTTGATAAATTCCACCCCTAAGGGGATAAAATAGTGTAAAGCCGCAAAAACTATACCTAATAATAATACTTCTTAACGCGAGCGAAGCCGCGGGCAAAAGAATATAATAAATGTGAAAGTTTGTGAGGATGGATGGATGTTTGCTACACTTTCACGCAAAAACTAATGAACGGATTTTGATGAAACTTTATAGTAATATAGCTTATACATCAGAATAATATATAGGCTATAAATTTTACACGGATGAACCCGCGGGCACAGCTAGTCTTAAATAAAACTTGAAGATCCCGTTTGATGAAACTTTATAGTAATATAGCTTATACATCAGAATAATATATAGGCTATAAATTTTACACGGATGAACCCGCGGGCACAGCTAGTCTTAAATAAAACTTGAAGATCCCGTGACATGTTAGTATGATATATTTTTTAACACAACTGCCTTACCTTGTCGTAACCAATGTGCGGGTTGAGCGCTGTAACCAACATGAGAGACTCGCGCATGATCTTGGAGATCTGAGCCTCGTTCGCCTTGATGCCTTGAGCGCAGTTCTTGTTGAACGCCTGGCAACCATCACCTGCAAGATGAGATAAGATATTTACTGTCACAGCATATGCTGAGTCTGGACCATATTGTATAGTTTGATTGTTATTTTTGTAGCGCGGTGATATTACCTCACCACGGTAGCGTTATTATTATATTATATTATTACAATATTTATTATATATATTAAATATAAGAGTTATATACCAATAAGCCTGATGGAGCGCAGCACGTTGGCGACGATCATGGGCTTGAACACGTTGAGCTCGAAGTGTCCGTTGCTGCCGCCGACGGTGCACGCCACGTGGTTGCCCATCACCTGCGCCGCCACCATCGTCAGCGACTCGCACTGTGTCGGGTTCACTTTACCTGCACAATACCATAAATATATATATGTACGAGTGGGTACAGGTACTCGACGACTCATCGTTACGGTAAATAAATTATAAATACTTAGCAAATTTCAAAGATGTATTTGGCGTTACGGTTACACACAAAAAGAGATTTTTTTTTTCGGAATACTCTAATGCTGTTGGCGGCAGCTGGCATATATACTTAAATACTTAAGTGTATAGTTAAGTAAAGCTGTACAGGCCGGCTGCGGCCAACAGCATTAGAGTAGTCCATAAAAAATATATGCCTTAGTTATACCCTTTCCAACTAAACCTGTATATGGGATGTATCTTACCAGGCATAATAGAGGATCCAGGTTCGTTTTCAGGCAACAGCAGCTCCGCGAGACCACAGCGGGGGCCCGAAGCCAGCAGACGGATGTCGTTGGCGATTTTCATGAGCGACACGGCGACAGTGTTGAGAGCGCCTGATACTTCCACCATCGCGTCGTGGCACGCGAGCGCTTCGAACTTGTTAGGTGCAGTCTCAAATGGGATACCTGCAATATAAGTGATATATTACAATCATGCGTCTGTCTATTATAGGAACTCAACCCCGATATCTTGAACTACAGATAACGGGACCTCAATAAAAATAAATGAAACTTGTTAATATCCCGAGATTTTTCTTTGCAAATTAAAAATTAAAAATAATGTTATTCATGTAGGACATTTTAGCCGTTTCTAAACGACCGATGCCGGAGAAGTTAATAAGAGAGGAAAGTGTTGATTTACAGACAAATTACTAGGAGTACATACAAGTGAAGGAGTCTCCTCCTTCCTCCCAAAACATGTGAACTTTTAGTATCTACAAAGAATAAAATAAATTTAGGTTAGTTTAAAACTTCACCATGTAATAATATTTATAATACAGACCATTAGTAGCCTAAAATAAATAAATAAATCATGTGTTGTTTTTTTAAGGGTGGTCGAGTGTTGATTTTCAGACAAACTATCAGGAGCGCATACCGGTGAGGGAGGCAATCTCGGCGGGTTACTGAGACCACCAAGATCGTCAATAAGTATGCTAATGTGTTGATTTACAGACAAATTACTAGGAGCACATACAAGTGAAGTAGTCCTCTCCTTCCACACAAAAACATATGTACTTACAAAGACAATTATAATTTAAGTTAGATTTAAACGTCACCATGTACCCCCAACCAGGGAAAGTTAAGAATTTCGAATAAACACGAAATATAACAAGGAGGGGTATAGTAGTATATATGTATGCTAGAAAACATCACGTGTTTAACGGACGGCCCCTACGGATGTGAGTGTTGATTTACAGGTAAGATACCAGGAGTACATACCGGTGAAGGAGGCTATCTCGGCGGCGCACTGAGACCACAAAGTTGGGATCAGTAAGAACGTGCCTCCGACGGCGATGTCGCGTATGTTGGATATGCAGTCGAGTACATACCTGTGAGGGAGGCTATCTCGGCGGCGCACTGAGACCACAAAGGCTGTCAATAAGTATGCTCAAGTGTTGATTCAGAGACAAATTACAAGTGAAAGAATCTGCTCCTTCCACCCAAAACCCACGTGGGTTTGGGTGTCTAGAAAGAATCTTATAATTTAGTTTAGTTTGAAACTTCACCACGATATTAATATTTATAATAGGTGCCATTAGTAGCCTAAAAATAAATAAATATGTAAATAACATAGGTATTTATTTACAGTCAATCTACCAGGAGCGCATACCTGTGAGGGAGGCTATCTCGGCGGCGACGTACTACATGCCGTACGTGAGCCGCGTCTTCTTTTCGGTCGTCGTTTTCGCCGGCGAGGACGGTGTCTTGTGTGTGTGTATATGTGTAAAAGTGGGGTCGGGACGGAACGGGTGGACCCGTAGGGCGGTCACCTACCGTTATGGGGTTGTCGGGATCAATAAGAACGTGCTTCCGATGGCGATGTCGCGTATGACGGATATGCAGTGAAGTTTCAACTACCAGGAGTACATACCTGTGAGGGAGGCTATCTCGGCGGCGCACTTCTCCGCGAAGCCGGGTCTAGATGCCGTACGTGAGCCGCGTTTCAACTACCAGGAGTACATACCTGTGAGGGAGGCTATCTCGGCGGCGCACTTCTCCGCGAAGCCGGGTCTAGATGCTGTACGTGAGCCGCGTTTCAACTACCAGGAGTACATACCGGTGAGGGAGGCTATCTCGGCGGCGCACTGAGACCACAAAGGCTGTCAATAAGTATGCTAAAGTGTTGATTTAGAGACAAATTACAAGTGAAAGAATCTGCTCCTTCCACCCAAAACCCACGTGGGTTTGGGTGTCTAGAAAGAATCTTATAATTTAGTTTAGTTTGAAACTTCACCACGATATTAATATTTATAATAGGTGCCATTAGTAGCCTAAAAATAAATAAATATGTAAATCACATGTTGTTTTAAAGGTGAGAAAGTATTTATTTACAGTCAATCTACCAGGAGCGCATACCTGTGAGGGAGGCTATCTCGGCGGCGGCGTACTACATGCCGTACGTGAGCCGCGTCTTCTTTTCGGTCGTCGTTTTCGCCGGCGAGGACGGTGTCTTGTGTGTGTGTATATGTGTAAAAGTGGGGTCGGGACGGAACTGGTGGATCCGTAGGGCGGTTACCTACCGTTATGGGGTTGTCGGGATCAATAAGAACGTGCCTCCGATGGCGATGTCGCGTATGACGGATATGCAGTCAAGTTTCAACTACCAGCAGTACATACCTGTGAGGGAGGCTATCTCTGCGGCGCACTTCTCCGCGAAGCCGGGTCTAGATGCTGTACGTGAGCCGCGCTTCAACTACCAGGAGTACATACCTGTGAGGGAGGCTATCTCTGCGGCGCACTTCTCCGCAAAGCCGGGCCGTGTGTTGAGGCCGGTGCCGACGGCGGTGCCGCCCAGCGCGAGGTAGTGCAGGCGCGGCAGCGTGCTGCACACGCGCTCGATGCCGTACGTGAGCTGCGTCGCGTACGCGCTGAACTCCTGGCCTAGCGTCAGCGGTACGGCGTCCATCAGGTGAGTCCTGGTCAGAGACATTTACATTTCTATTACAAATTGTTAGCTTCATTGTGATAGATTATAATAGATCACAACACACAATAGATAATTACATAGTATAAAACAAAGTCGCCGTCGCTGTCTGTCCGTCCCTATGTATGTATGCTTAAATCTCTAAAACTACGTAACGGATTTTGAAGCGGTTATTTTTAATAGAGTGATTCTAGAGGAAGGTTTATATATATAATACATGTACATCCGTGCGAAGCTGGGGCGAGTAGCTAGTATATTATAACTTCAATCTATTAGTGCTAATTGGTGTTTTGTATTCACAGATTTCAACTTAAAAATGAAAACTTACAACAAATATTCATAAGAGCAACACACAGGTTCTTATTATGAGACAACGTCCATAGAGATGGATGGATTAAAAAAAATCTATTCAAAAGTGCTTAAATTTAAGTTTATTTTATAACGGATTTCCATTCTATTCTGACCCAAATAAGTGTCAGCGTCACATTGTTCCTCGTGTTTATGTAACATTTCTCAAGATACACAATAGAACTTGGTTCTCAATTTTGCAAGATATATGCTATGACTTTTTCTACGTCTATTTCAGATATATTTGCAGCAAACATTTTGTCTTTTGCAGTGCACTCCAGAATAACTCACAGATGAGATTGTTTTCCGACTTGCTTGACATTTATTTCACCCAATTTAGATAATATCTTTTTAAATTACAACCTATGTGTTATTATGTATTATACGTATCAGCTATATTACTTTAAGGTTTCATCAAAAACCTTTCAGTAGTTTACGCGTGATAGAGTAACAAACATTCACACATACATATAAACTTTCGCGTTTATAATATTTGTCAGGATTTACTCACCGGCCAATCTTGATAATTTTATCAAAAGCCTTCGATTTCGCCAGCAGTGTGTCTCTCAGGGCTACAAGTCCGGGCATGAGCCGATCGCGGAGTTCCAGAGCCACGGCTATATGCATCGCGGTCGGATAGGTATCGTTCGAACTCTGGGATTTGTTCACGTGATCGTTGGGATGTACAGGGTCCTTGCTGCCAAGTTTACCACCCAAGATTTGGATGGCACGATTCGATATAACCTGAAAATGTTACTTATTTATTTATTAATTCTTAGCAATAAGTATTGTCAGGGGCGGATCTACCTAAGGGCTTTATGGGCTGAAACCCAGGGCTCCGAGGATATAAAGGGCCCCCAGTCCCCACTAAAACGATATTTAGAATATAAAAAATATCTATCATAAGGTTGGCAACCCTGAGATCAATCAACCCATGCAAGTGCGCGTCTATGGAAAGGAACCTAGCCTATCCTGCAGATATTCTAGTACTTCCAAATTTACATTTAAATCCAAATTAGGTACTAAAACATCTATCCAATTATTTTGGTAATTAAAAATACCTACATCTTTAATTTATTGCAAATTATCAAAATAATCTCCTGCTTTCACTGGACTATTCATTGTTGATTTGTGTTTAGTATGTATGTATTTGTGTATAAATATCATATGTATGTATAAATATCATATGTATATGTGCTTTTTTATATGTTATGAATTTATATTTAAGTATGTATGTATTTGGATATGTATATTTTGAATTATTAATTTTAATATATTTATACCTAGAACCTTTTCTTATTTTTATGGTATGGTATGGTATGGTAAGTTATCCACCCCTTACTTTTCTTTTTTTTTTTTGATATATTTTTATTACTTTTTGTATTATTAAAAAATACGTACAACCCAAAATGTTCACCCTACTAGCATCAACCTCTATTTTTTAATAGCTATTTTAATGTATACGGCAAAACAGCATTTGTGTCAGCCAGTATATATCTTGTACTGACCTCGTTGGTGTTCATGTTGGACTGAGTACCGGAGCCTGTCTGCCAGATGACGAGAGGGAAGTGACCCTCGCGGTACAACTTGCCGGATATGACGTCCTCGCACGCCTGTATTATGGCTTCCGCTGTAAACAAAGCAACATAACTACCTTAGTGTTGACCTCGACCTACACTAAAGTCATTGAATTATTACAAAAACAGCGTTTGTATCGGAAGTGGCTTGTATGACAAAGTATGAATATAGATGTAAAACTATTCTTGCTATAAATGCGAAAGTCTGTCCGTCCGTTCGTTATGTTTCCACATTTAAGCTTTAGCTTTTCATTTATATAAAAGGTAGCCCAAGTCTGAGCTTGTGGTAATATGATCAATCTTCTTAAAAAATGTACTAATTGAGTCTCTTGCCAATTCTTCTCAATTCAAGTAGATAGCCGAACTAGTGGTAGGGACAGCGATAAAAATATGATGTGCACAAGAGGACGAAAGCTCATATGTTCATAAATGTTAAGTTTGGGTTTCATTCTCGGCGGTGTAGCGGTTTAACACACCGTTTTACTTCCCATGGTCGCAGATTCGATTTCTTGAATGGTGCAGATATTTGTATTCATGAGTCTGTATCAGTCTGGGTGTTTTCTAATAAGTATTTACAAAAAAGGTAATATAAGTATTTATATCAGTTGTCTAGCACCCATAACACTATTTCTGCTTACTTTGGGGCTAGATGGCGCCGTGTGAATTGTCCAGGGTTATTGTTATTTTATTGTTATGAAACTTACCTATTTTCTTATCAAGGCCATATTCAACGTTCACCTTTGCCGCAGCCTTCTTCAAAATACCAAAAGCGACGATCACCGGGTACTGAAAGTATTAATTTTATAATTTTAGTGAGTATTAGTGAGTGACTATCATTAAGTGAAGTTACACAATTAAGTTTTTAACTTATATTGTGCAACTACGCTGGCATTTTAAAGATGTTTCGAGTCTACGTTTCGAATGAGTGGTACAAGAAAAAAATATGACTATTAAAAAGTTTATGGTTATATGCTCGTATTTATTAAACCATACATATATACATTTCTATACAGTTAATTTAGTAGTTGCTGTTTATTGTAACATTATTTTCTTCCTCAGAGACATAGAGACAATTCTTTTGTATTTGTCTCTGTGTCTCTAAACACTATGTTAATATATATTGTGTAAAAAAAATTAATAAATATATATATTTTTTTTTAATTTATTTTAATTCTACCAATTTTATTCTAGTTAAATAAAGAATATAAAGAAAGAAAAATATATGTAGTTTAAAACAAATATGACAATCTTACTAATGTTATAAACGCGAAAGTTTCTGAGTATGGACGGATAGATGGATGGATGTTTGTTACTCTTTCACGCAAAAACTACTGAACGAATTGTGATGAAACTTCACAGTTATGTACCTTATACATCATAATAACAGATAAGCTATTATTTAAAAATATATTATGTAAATTATGCGAAATATAATGATAAATGTCAAGTAAGTGTGATGCAAACGAAGTTGCACGGGTCTGGTATAATAATAATAAACAATAATTTAATTTTATATATTTTGTATATAATGTATAAGTTTATATATTTGTTTATTTATGTAGTTATACATTTTATACGGGTATATTACTATGTTTGCATATGTACATATATATTATTTTTCTGTATTTATCTACTTTTGTTTTTTTATATTAATTATTAACCTGTTAACTGGGGAATTCCATTTTTAATTATGCAGCATACAACGGCCACTGCCTCTCACTAAGACGTGTTAATACGTCAGCACAATATAATTTAATGTATATATTTTTGATAGGAAATATTCCACCCGCTCCAGGTTCCAGGGCGGAGCAGATATTAACAAAATGTAGGTATACATATGTCCTATACGTACACAAAAGTTTGATGTTTGACGTAGTTATACGTCCCACTCGGTTAACAGGTAAAATCCGCCTTATTGTATCTGATCAGCGCGACGGTTGACTGATAGAGAATGCAATCAGACATTAAGTCCGCCATGGATACAATTTTGTGTGCAAAAGAAAAAATAAATAAGTATGTAATAACAAACTTTAGTTTTAAATATGAGTGCCAATATTCTGATATGTAAATTATCTGTTTGGTTAGTTCTTCAGATTACCCCAACTTGCGTTATCATTCAGTCAACATTGACATGCTTGTATAAACAATGATTGATTGAAAACTGCGATTACCTAAGTCGAACATTTCCACTTCTCAGTTTATCTATACTAACATTATAAAATGTTTGTTTGTTTAGGGTAATATCCGGTTCTGATGATCCGATTTTAAAATTCTTTCTATATAGACCAGAGCCTATATAACATCATGCTATGATCAATAGGAGCCGAGCAGCAATAAAAAATGTTGTAAAAATGATTCGTTTTGAGTGTTTCCGCTGCGTGCATTTCGTAAATGATTGAAGTTACCCAAAAATATTATAATAGAATTGTTATCCTTTAAGTTTTAAAAAAGAGTACGCTTAACATATGTCTATCTTGAGATTAACTCTTTTAACCTATAACTTCTGTTTTCCTATAACCTTTTTTATGGTAATCATTCTTATAAAATACAATATATTATAACTATTTAGTTTTGAACAAAATCGTCTTTTACATCATTAGAATTCAACGACCACTTTAGGAGATATTTTAGTTTTAATAAATAAGGAACCACAAGTATTGGGCCTGTGCGAAGCCCAGACCGATTGCTAGTATCTAATAAATATCTCAGTTTTAATAAAAGGAGAACCTCAAATTTTGGGCCCGTGCTAAGCCGGGGCGGGCTGCTAGTGTCAGATAAAATACACACTGATACGAATTCGACCTGATACTTTTGCAGTTACCTTATATTTTATTTAAATGAAAAAGCATATTAAAAATTTAAAAAGTAAAAAAAAAATATAAACATGCGTAATCGTATATAAAATGTATGAATAGTTTTAAAGTACTCTTGTATTCCGTAGTAAATAAGTAGTGTATTTTATAGTAAATCCTTCAATTTAATATCCGGGAATAGGAGTTATTAGTAAAAAAAAATATCTTATCTGTGGCCATACGTATCAACTAAATTGCATCAATTATTCGCATCACCTACTTTTCAGGTAGGACAGGGGCATTACAAAGCCCGGAGCCTCGCAATGGGTAAGACCGCCACTGCCTGTACACCTTGGTAATGCATAATGGGTGTCAAGTTTGCAAGTCCGGTTGTGCAATGGATACCAATTGTACAACCTTACAATAGTCGCGCAACGTTATTTGTAACTCTATTGAAACTAACGTTACGTAAATTAGCACCTATTGTTTTAAATCTATATATTAATAGTCAGGTCAAATTAGACCAAAAAATAAGAATGAAACTATATAAATTAAAACTTACCGTTTTGCTGCAAATCGCGAAAAACTTTTTTTTTTACCTTTGACCTTCAATATTTTTTTTAATGTCTAAACTAAGCCATGCCTGTATCTCGGACACCTATATATGATAATCGTTTACATTACGATTATGAGTTCAATGATAAAAAAACATATTTACCGGCATGCGTTCCTCGATGCCGCCGATGGGGAAGTTCAGGACAGACCTGACGGTCTGCGCTCCATACAGCTTGTCATCGGGCACATCCAATTCTCCAAACGTATCGCGCTCTTTTCTCTGTAAGGTAATAGAAAAATCATATTAACATTGGCGAGGATTCCTTTACTTCAGTTGCAGCAATTAAAAAAAATCTAATAGCAAACATATTTTTTATATCTACTGTGAGACTGTTTATATTAACATTGGCGTGGATTTATTGCCTTCAGTTGAGAAATTAAAAAATAAAATCTAATTTCAAATATACTTTTTAGGATGTAAAGACTTTAGTCTAGTCTCCATAAATCCATAATCCATAAACAAAAAGTCTATGACAGTATGGATTATGCTCTGTGCTTGTCGAGTTTGGGCTAATTAGAAAACAACAAGCAATTAATAAGGTCCAATATCCAGGATAAGTGAGGTGACATGACATCGTCTGGATAGCATTGCATATGATATCGCGGGTCTCATGTGATAATGTACTGTCATAGTGCTGTTCATATATGTTGTAAAACATGTAAATAATGTTATTTTGTAATAAATGTTAACTGAAGCATGTAATGACTAAATGTGAGAGAAAATTTTAAACCCAACCTACATTATTGTACCATATTCATGGCAATCTATAAATAATTACAGGTTATGGTTAGAGTCTACCATCAAACGGGCCGTCAGTTCATTTACCGTTCCATATACATAAAAAAATGAAATTAATGTAAAGTAATTTCATCACGATTGCAGTACTATTTTAATAAACATATCTTTAATAATTCTCATATTTTTACAGTAAGTTCCCGAAGTAGACCTCGGTAGTCTTGTGGTTTAACTGCGTCTTAGTCCGCGGGTTCGATCGCCGCATAATACAAACATTTAAAACCATGGTTGTTTACAAAAATACACAAGCTATAGTACCAGCTCTAACTAAGCTTAATTTGGGACTAAATGGTATGATTATCACATGGTAATGGCACGGCAATGGTATGATAGGTGATGGTAAGTCCTGCGAACACGTTCCCGTGACCCAGGCACTATAGCGACGAAGAATGCCGTAGGGTTTTATTAGATAGGAGTCTCATAGTACCCGTCCGTCCGACCCCTGAGACGGACGGGTAGATCCGTCCGTGGTAGGTGTTGGACGGACGGGATGAGAGATTTTCCCCACGTTAAAAATAGGGATCAACATAGACTAACCTTATGGATTCTTAAATGGAATGAAATGACTTTTTTTATGCTGAAATTTGTTAAATCCTCTAAATAAACAAACGGACTAACATTCAGTACCATAATATAAGTAAATATATTTCCATAACAATAATAGCACAACCCAGAGTATTTATCATGTATTACTTTCAAAGTAGATAGGTATGTATACTCAGTTATTTTGTTTGTTATAAATAAAACAGTACCTACTTATCGTGTATTATTTTCATATATGTATAGTTATTTGGTTGTTATAAAAACAAACTATTGCTATCTTTCAATTATAACATCAGCCGGTGTTTGTTTGGCTCGAACTATATGATGAAATCACGATCTATATGTACAATACAATTTGATTAATATAATAAATAACCCTGGACAGTTAATCTTAAGCAGAGCTTGTGTTATGGGTACTAGACAACTGATATAAATACTTAGATATTTTATTGTAGATACATACATATTATACATAGAAAACAGCCAGACCGATACAAACAGTCATACTCATGAATACAAAAGTTTGCACTTTGCGAGAATCGAACCCGCGACCATCGGAAGTAAAGCAGTGTGCTTAACCGCTAACCGCTGACAACTGAGGCTGTCAATATATACGCTAATTTCAAAATAAGACAGGACGTATTTGTATGTATGAGCTAGTTCAACCGATTTTAGAAAAGCTATAAATAATAGTCATAGAAACTGGAGAATATAAGTCTTATTAATTGAACTGGTGATGTACAATACAGTATCAATATAAAGTGCCATCAACCTCATATTGTAAGAACTAACTATTAGAACAAGCACAAATAAAGTGCACTAACACTTGAAATAGAACTTGTTACCAAACCAATGTGGTGACGGCACCACATCCGTCTGGTAACGGGCTCATGCATCTACAACACAGCGGATCTACTCTGGAAAATAATTCCTAACCAATGGCATTGGATTTTCCCATCTTTTATGCTCTTGAATTATACTACCAACATAAATCTATATTCCTTAGTCAATGACAGAATTATCAGTCAATGTTATCGATTCATTTGGTTTAGTTAAGATTACTTAAAGAAGAACTGTACTTAAATGATGGATTGAATCAGATCATTTTTCCTTTTTTATATACAACTATAGTGGCAATCAAGCATACGACCTATCTGATGGTAAATGGTAACTATAGCACATGGACGCAAGAAACACCATGGGTGTCACATGCGCGTTGCGAATCCTTAAGAAACCTTAATAATACTGTTTTTTTTGGAAGAGTATATTAAGGTAGGGTACGTATAGGAACGTTTTTCTCCACGAAAAACTCGTTCTTTCTTCTTCTTTTATTTAGTACAGAATGTACTCTATTGTTTACCTATAGACTATATTCTTATAAATATTTATTCTACAGATTAGTCTTCATTATAAGTAAACATCCTAAGTAACACGAATAACTTCACATTCATGAGTCAACGTGCATCACATTGAATACCAAATATTCCCAAATCCCAATGTGTGAGTAGATTGACACTATTTGCATATTCAACGTGTAATAAAAATTCTCAATGTTCAAATTGTAAGCACTTACCATTTTAACCGGTTTCCCATCGGGATTCATGCACACCGTACACGCCATTATATTATTAATAACTTACACACAAAAAATACAAAACAAGTTATAAAAATTTCAATGTCACCAAGACGTTCCCGCCAAAGTCAATTATAACTTTTTTTAAGTCACCTTTGCACGAAAAGAAAATAATTTTTGGCCAGTCACCTCTTATTTTTTATGACTAACACTAATGAAAATCGAACATGGAATGTCAAATATTACTCTTTTTTTTTATTTATACTGCCATGTTTTAATAGTGCATTACGGTTGCGGTTTTAAAACAAATGAAAAAAGAGTGTTTATTTGAGCGAGTTAGAACGTAAGGCAAACCGGTATTTGCCCCCACTGCTATTAACTGTACTTATTTCACATTACTCTGTGCTTTATACTTATTTTTAACGAGCAATCGACCGCATGTACCGAGAGTAAAAGGAGGACTGATTCGTTTTGAATGTTGTTAGCGACAGGAGCTAGCGATATGTTCTGTTATCAATTCGCTGTTTAAATTGAGTTCTTACATCATATATAACCTACCTACCTAATAAATGATTGTTTTATATACAAACAGCAGTAAATTATCATAATCCTATTAGGTTATTTTCCTGATATGAATTATTGTATTTTATAAAATAGCGGCAAAGTAACCTCGATTGTATTATTATACTATGAAATATATTTTATTATAAATATATATATATAATCGGTAATCTAATGATCCCGTTGCTAGCAAAGTACCATGTCAGGTTGACCTTCACTCGGTTCCCCTTATACACCATCGTGAGAAATTCCTGGTAATTTGCCACAATGGACTAACTTATTTACCTCATGCTCAGCTTATCATCCTCCGCTGGTGCTCCGCCAGCGTAAATGGTTAACGCAGGAGGGTGCATCATTCCATTATCATCCATATAAAAAAAACGGTGGATGGATTACCGTTTTTTCTTATATGGATGATATAATGATCGGTCGGTTAAAGTTCCGAAAGAGAATTCATAGAAGGAGAATCAATTGTTATCTTTAAGAAAAAACCCAGCAAAGTTTTTACCATAAAGTACATACTAGGGAATATAAACGTACTACCCTGTTTGCCCTGGATGAAGAGAAGAATAAATATTTTTTATTACCATTACTGTATGTTTTCAATTTTTTCTTAATTATCTTAGAAAATATAAGAAAACAAAGCAAAACATGGACATAGACTTCCCATAATATTTACGAGAAATCATTCATTCAGTTTTGGAGGAGAAAACAGGGGAATATGAAATCATTACTTTTCAATATTTTTTGTAGATATAGTCAGCTTAATCTACAGTTATTTATTTTGCTCTGTTTGGGAAATAAGCAAGAAGCGGTCTTGCTATGGAAAATTTACTATCAAGGGGTACATATAAAAATATACTATCAAAATTTTGGTGTCGCTGGGGGGTCAAAGCAGTGAGAGACAGTTCTCCTTGTAAAATTCATGACCTTTTCATATTCTTAATATATAGTACTCTCATTTGAAAATATTAAGAACAGTTTCCTGTCAAGTCTTCTTGGCTAAAACTGTTCTCCGAACTGATAGTTTAGATTGACTTATCAAAAGAAAGCATTTGTTTAAAAGTTTTTTAATGAATTAATATGGAATGATGCTCCAACTTTCATCAACAACAACATAATAGTTTTATAAAAATAATATTTTAAAAGAAGCAAAAATAATAAATATCTTGTTATGGTGAGCAAAAGAAAGAGGATTTCTTACACTTCACAGTAAACCTCTCACTTCTTTATTATTATTATATTGGCCAAGTTCTATTAGTTATTATTTTTTAAATGTATTTTTGCTCTTTGCAGTGTTGAGGTTTTTTTTATTATTTTTGATTAAAAAATTAACAGAACACTTAATAGGGAAGGATGATAGGATGATCCTTTGGTCTGATATTATGTAATTTTGAATTCAAGAGAAATTAACTATGATCATTTTCAGTGGTAATTGTTTATTTTTATTTTATTTATTTACATGCTCTCAGTGCAGTACAGTACAGTATAATACCAATGCACTCAAGGAATAAACTTATGCAATACATACATTAATAGTAATACTGATTATAATAACAATAATTGACAAAAAAAATACAGAAAATACAATAATAATAAAAATAATTTATCTTTTATCATCCTCATATAACTCATCCATGCTTGGCTAAGGCCGTGTTTGAATGTATTACCTCTGTAAAAAGGGAGATATATGAAACAAACATAATAATAATAATTTAGATACAAATAATACTCTAAAACTGTGACTCTATAAAATTTGTTACCGCTCTGTGAAACTCTGGGGCAGTACAGTTAAATATGCCAAGTGAACAAATTACAGATATCTCATTAACCAGATGGAGTGCTCTTGAGATTGGTGCATGATCAGCTTATAAGGTTCTGCACTGGGGCCGGGCAAATATTCTATGTTAAGACTGCATTTATCAATTTGTGGGACATGAAAGCTGATTAGACCCAAGATAGTTGGATCAATCTATGTGTTAAGTTCTACCTGACATGGTACTCTGCTAGCAGTCACATAAGGTATGAACAATACTCTTCCCAAAAAAGTACCTACTTGTATATGTAAATAACCTCAGAGTCAATGCAATTAATAATAATAATATATTCATATCATTTAGGTTACGAACACCGATTGTACTTTTTGATTTTGCAATAGCATATGCTGGCGGTCACTCTATTCTCCCAAATTTGAATTTATAATTAATCTGTATTATTGTAAACATGTACAACATTTGAAAAGCATACAAGAATAGTTTCTTGTCAGTTCTTCTCATCTCGAAATCATTCAGAACTGACGATAGACTTGACATATCATAAGAGTCTGTAATAGACCTATATGAATAAAGATATTTTGAATTTGAATTTTATCATGTTATTTAAATGGCAGACAGTATAAGGGAACTATGGTAAGTAACAAAAATTGCTTTTATATAATTGTACATGAACAATCATGGACACCATGTTATGAGGTGGCACCCGTTATACACTCATGAGTAGCCAATCTGGAGTATTGAGTTGTCTTCGTAGGTAATTTCACACACTAACACTCTAAAATATAATACATGAAGAAGAATTTTTATATACATAGAAAATGTATTGTTTCATTAATTCAAATAAATTCAAATTGAATTGTATATGTATTTAGTAAGCGACATTTTTAATATATGAATGTGGATGGATGTAAAGGGAGGGGAAGCCCTAAAAAAAGATGGATGGATTGTGTAAAAGATGATATGAATAAAAGAAGAGTATGTTCAGATATGACGACCGATAGAGAACAGTGGAACATACTATGCCGACCCCAAATAATGGGATAAAGGCAAGGCAATGATGATGATTTTTAATTTTGATAAAAAATATGAGCGCCTATCTTATTATTAAAATGATCATATGTCCTGAGGCAGTGAATCTCTCTGAACACACTAGCATTCACAATTTACTCAGATCGATGAAACTCAATTAAAAAGTAGTTCTAATTCGGTAGATAAATTGTTTTTTCATACTTCATGACAACACTGTAACTAACGCATATTTGCACGTATTTATTACATTATAATGAACTATAGGTTTAAATTATGATCAAATAATAAAGTTAGTAATGTTATGAAAAGGAATACTAGTTAGTAATCAACAAAACTTAGGTTTCTGCAGCAGAAAGCTATTATGCAACTTACCGCTACGACATTGGTTGTAGAGAAATTCGCTTTATCCACTAGGCGCACGACACATCTGAAGTTCTTAGAGGAATTAAATAAAGCTGAAGATAATTTAAACATGGATGTAGCCATGTTCTTCAGATATTTTGGACTAGGACTGCGAATATATAGTAATTATGGTTATTGGTTTCAAAACTATTGAAATTTCAAATGGAGAGAAAAGAAGGAAGGTAACTTGCTGTCAGTTGGTAATCTGTCCATCAATGTCAAGATTAATAGTGTCAAAGGTTTGTCACAGATTTAAAAGATGCTCTGGATTATAAATGTTTTTGCTTTTATTTAAATTAATAAGAATATATGTATATAATATTATAAACTTATAATGAGTTTAACAACAATAGATTAATAAATGCCAAATAAGTTGAGTACATTGTATGTGTGTGCAAAATATTTTGAATCTTATTGTAAGGGCATAAATTATATTTTTATATTCATTTACTGACTGAGTAATTGAACTTTTGTATGAGACATCACAATAAAGAAGTCTATTTCATTCACTTTAAGAACGTGTAGATAAATTGCCAGATTACAATATAGAATACAATGAAAATGACCATGTTATTTAAATGAAATATCATAAAAATCTGTTTTTAGCAACTATGTGATTCAATTTCTTTTAGTTAAAATATAAATAATGAAGGAATATAAATTAGTTGATAAATATTATGTATTTCCATGACGACATATATGTCTTATTATTCAATATAGCACCTCTGTGTTTATTCTCTTTATTTATTAAAGTATACATAATTTATTAAGATCGCTAAAAGTTCTCTTTCTTTATTAAACTTATAACAACTGGCATCTCTACATTCGATTCTCCGTCTACGTATCGCATGATAAATTATCCATCTACGATTCTTTACGTCTCATTACTGTTGTCTTTATTAATATGGTGCAGTGAAATTGATAATAAGTGTAAACCACGAATATTAAAATATAAGTACAATATTAAATCTTAAAATTACATTAAAAATACATAATTTTTAATGAAGTCTGAACGCATCAGAATCCTGCCGACAGTGCTGCCTCTAGTGATTATTTTCTGCATTATTTCTGCTTTTCGCTGGAATCGTTCATATTCGGCTCTTCTCGGATCAGTCACGCCTAGACTCGTTCGAAAAGCGAAACTGAATTCATTCCACGGCGATGTACGAAGACTGATACTCTTCCCGTGGACCACTTGTACAATCGGGATATTTTATTCACAAAAACGGGCTTTAGCACTCGATATATAATTTGTAATGTATTGTGATTAAGACCGTTGCTATTGTGTTAAGTGCTGTCGTTGGAAATAAGTGCAGAAATATATAAATAATCCTGTGTGAAGTGGTGCAATTGTGATTATCTGCAGTTGGATCCTGGATTTCAAAAGGATTGTTATATTTGACTAGAGAGATATACTCTATTAAGGTAAGAATCGTTGTATAGTGCTCGACAATTTAGTTGGTACAGAACGCGTGGCGTTATTCGAATGGCTTCCTTTTATCGACTCGCGTGCGCGATAATGGCTGACTTTTCTCCGTTCTACTTCTGTAGCGGGAACAAAATAAGAAATATTGAAGACATTGATGTTTATATGTTGTGAAATTTTGTTGTCGGTGTTGCATTGTGATGGATTTTGTGTAACTATGCGTAGGTGGGCCCGGGTATGTGGCGTGG